ACTAAGGTTCTCAACCGAAGATAGGTAAGGTAGGTAGAAACACTTACTACTTATAACTTCCAGATTTACTATATAAAAGGAAAAGAGAACGGTAGAGTAGACGCTCTAAGCCGAAGAGTAGATTATATGATAGACATCAAACTAACGCCCGCATCGCTACTACGATAAGAAGGAGAGTACCTTACGTACGTATAGCCTACTTACGCAGTAGGAGGGCCGTTATACAATACGAACAACGGGTACGATATAAGAATCTAGATAAAAGACATAACGGGACTGAAACAGCCCTAGAAAATATAAGAAAATAGGAAAGTAGTTATAGAATACTACTACAATAACCTACTTATAGGATACCTAAGAACGGACAAAATAATCGAACTAATTACTCGATATCACGAACCATAGAAAAACATGAGGAAAGACATCCAGGAATTCACACGGAACTGCGAAGTTTATGCATAAGATAAGTATAATAGATATAAACCATACGGATTACTACAGCTACTATAGGCGCTAGAGGGCGCGTAGACATTAATTATAATAGACTTTATCACGAAACTACTAAAGTTAAGAGAGCCCCTTACGGGTATAACTTATAATAGTATTCTAGTGATATACGATAGACTCACGAAGTTCTCCTACTTTAGACTATACTTAGAGAGCTTAACGGTAGAAGACTTCGTATATAAATTCTTAAGAACCGTATTCGTAAACTACGGCATACCAAAAGAAATCATTACGGACCGAGATAAGCTCTTTACATCGAAGTTTTAGAAAGAACTAATGAGGCTATTAGTTACGAAGCACAAACTATCTACATCATTCCACCCCCAGATAGATGATCAGATAGAAAGAACGAACTAGACACTGGAACAATACCTACGGATATACGTAGACTATAGATAAACGAATTAGGTTACGATACTACTAATCGCATAATTCTACTTCAATAACTATAGGTTAGCAATAGGACTAAGCCTATTCTACGCTAATTACGGATTCCACCCGAGGCTAGAAGATAATGTTTAAGAAAGCTCGAACCCGAGAGTACTAGTAAAAGTTAATACGATGAAGGAAATCTACGAAAGATTACGAGAGACCCTATAATTTATCATAAAGAGAATGGCAATATACGTAAATAAGAAAAGGGTCGAGGGACCGCCCCTAGAGGAGGGGGACCCCGTCTACCTTTTACGAAAAAACATTAAGATAAAACGGCTAAGTACGAAATTAGATTATATTAAGCTAGGACCATTTAGAATTAAGGAAAAAATAGGAAAGGTCAACTACCGACTGGAACTTCCTAAGGACATGAGAATTTACAGTGTATTCTATGTTTCATTACTCGAACCAGCGCTAAAGAACGCTAAGCCAGTTAAGTCACTACCTTTAGACGAAGAAGTCGCAATAGAAGAGTACGACGTGGAGAAAGTACTTAAGAGACGCGTCAGGTATAGTACTTCCCAGTACCTAATTAAGTAGTTAGGATACGACGAGTTAGAAAACAGTTAGGAACTAGAGGCTTACCTTATAAAGGAGACCCTAAAGGAAGCTTAAGAGTAACACCTTAAGTAGTTTCACTAGATAACATAGCTTCCTAATCAATCTATTCGACGCTCGGGGCGCCGGACTAAGTAAAGTTAGGCTTAGCTAGAGCTACCTCCTCGGAGTCGGGCAACTCATTAAAGACACCCAACGCTTACATCTTACGACGTAACATTCGACTCGAGACCTCCTCCAAGCGAGAAAGGTCGTCTTATAGGGAACCGTCCTCCTCTTCTACAGTAGCTAACGCCAGCTGGGCGTCCACCATCGCTTTACGTAAACGAGCAATTTCCTTTCGCTTCGCCCGCGACTTTACAACTAATTGTTTCTTTTATTCCCCTACTTTTCGGAATTCTTCCATCGAGAAAGTGCCGTTACATTTCCGCTATTTCCGGAGACATTCGGCATAAGAAGACGACTATTCGCGGTCGTAGTAATAGACAACCCCGTAGTTAGTATACTCGGTATAGGCCACCATCGCGATATTTTCTAAATCGGCAGAAATGGAATCGGCGAGTTCGATACGACGCTCACTTTAAGTTTTTACCGGCTTTATAGATCGGCGAGGTTTAACTATACGGAAGGACTGCATAGTTAGCCATAGAGAACAAGGGAAGAGGAAAAAAGACGAGAGACGATGGAGGGTAGGCGCGGCCTACCTTAAGTACGTTAAGGACAACGAACAGGAAGGAGGGGAGATGGTATTAGAAACGGCCTTCATATAACCTGGGGCGCGGGGTGCCCACAGGCAGGTCTGCCGGGGCGGCAGCCTGACTATATAAGGCTAGGTCACGTACCGCACGTAACTACCTAAAAAGGAAATGTTTAATATATTAGTATAGTAGTATACTACCATATCAACATATTAACATACCATTCCCAGTTACCTATTCGGGACATGCCCCTTAAGTATATAGCTACGCTCATTCCCCTTTCATAGTTACACTCTCTCGTAGCCAATTCATGACATCTACTTCACTATACTATTCTGAAGTCACTCGACTATTCATACCTTACGTACTCTCGACCTAGCTCATATAATAAAGGAACTGTGACTAAGGAAGCCTAACCCCGTTAGGCCATACAGGAAGCAGCTCTGACACTTAAGTTTACTCTAGCGTATAAAGACTAGACCTAGGAGGAATAGTCGCGAGTTATCTAGTTAGACGAATATTCGATACTCCGCGGTAGTAGGATCGTACGCGAATAGCTATTCCGTACGCTAAAATAGAAGTAGAAAAAGGACTTTATTATACCTCGAGGTAAAGCTTAAGACCTCTCGATCATGATCTAGGTAGTAATCTAGGGCTAAGAGGCATTAGACGCCGTTATTCTATCGCGCGACTAGGAGTCTAAAAAGATAGGCTATTCGGCTAATTTCTATCTCGAAGTACTTAAGGAAAACATTCCTACCTACTAGGAACTAGAGAGGATATTTATATAAGATAATACCCTAATTTATAAAGCGAAAAAGGTTATAGAATAGTTCGTAGACCGTAGAATAATAGTAATAGATTAGCTACTATTTTCGCCTGATTTAAACCTAATTAAATCCCTCTAGTTTAAACTGAAATACCTCGTTAACGAGGTCGATCCTAGCCTTAAGGATACTACTAGCGATAGCGAGGCTATTAGGTAGCGATTTATAAGCGTAATTACTAGGGCCTAGGCTAGTATTAGCCCTAGAAAGATTAAGGTAGTAGTTAAGTTAATAGATAATAGGATTAACGAAGTTATCGCCGCCGAGGGCTAGTATACGCGATATTAATAGTTTTTTTTTTTTTTACGGAGCTAGGTTTATAACTATTTAGCTAGAGATCCTACAATTTATATTAAATTATCTTATAAATTAAGTGTATAGTAGCTACTTATTATAGAGGTAGTAAGGGTGAAAACATCTAGTAGGGTGGGGGTGGACGGATATTTTTACTAGGGTGCTGTATCTACCTCGGTAGTTACTAGGCAGGTACCTACATACCTAGTGAAGTGTTCGGTTAAGTCTGACGCTTTTGAGAGCGTCAAATACGCTAAACGCTCCAAGATTCTCGTTTAGGGGCGTCACGGGAAGGGAATTTAGTGGCAATTACGCCTATAAATTTAGGGGCTCACTCATGAATGTCCCTGGCTGCCGAGTGTCTGCCTGTACTGGAGTCCTCCGGGTCCCCCTTCTATCGTCGTTTATTCTGACTCTACGGAGGTCTTATCAGGACAGTCTGTTCCCAGTAGATTCACGGTGATACTTTCCAGCCTCAAGGCACCAGTTCACAAAAGAGACGCCGATATCGGCACGGGGACACGGCCACTGAATCACGGTTCTGCAGTTCTAAGAGCCCCCCTGTTCCACAATGAAAAGTCAATCTACCATCAGCGCATTACCTCGACACTGGTGCATTCCAGAGCAAATCCAGCCTATATGATAGTTGACCTCGAATGGACGAGTGTCGACACGCTGCTACGATCCCTCCTGCGACACTCACAAAGCTCGATAGTTATCTCGTGGTAATTGTGATGGACAGGCATGGGGACCAGCAAGAAAGCCAATTCACGGGGTTATGAACGCTACTATAGTTTAGCATGCTCTTCAAGTGACAGCTCTTGTCTCGCGGGTCCCCTCGACTGCCGTCACCCTCGAACCCATTATTCCTTCGCTCGTTTGACTGGTACTCTGTTCGGAACTGCTATCTGTGCGCCAACCGAGGTTCAAGACGCCCGTGCATCAAGAGGCTAGAGTATCTTCCCAAAACCAAAAGGAACTTGAAAGCGTCTGTGGCACGGTTAGTCAGTGGCCTTCCTCAAGTCACATGTCCTTGTACTTATTGCACATTGCCCTCACCAGCCATAAAAACGTTACGACGAGCTGGATGAGAATCATGATACAGTCCCCTGTAGGAGTATCCGTATACCAGCAAACGGTCACCTTATCAAATGCACGGTTGGCGAGTTCTGGAAGTACCTCTCTGAGACCCTCTCTGAGCCGATGTTCTCCATCTTCAGGTACGAAACTGGAACGCTGCGTGCCCTGGGGTGTCTAAAGCGATGGCGGCGAGTGCTGGTAATCTTGGAGTCCAGGACAGCGACCTCCTCACTACCCAGCGGCCGCGTATAAGCCCAGCCTTGGACGACCACTTTCAGAAGTTTGTCTCTGGGTAGGGTGGGAAAACAAACCATCCCGTCGAAAGCTGATGCAGATGGGGAGATTGCGGTACTTGGTCATTTCAGCGTCTGTCAGACGGAGAGATGCGAGGACCTAGCCAGTAGAAAGGACTGAATTGGGCATGTCAGCGAGGTTTTGGGTCCAGGCCACGCAGCGAGAACGAGGAAGTCTCCCAACGCCTGTGTGCCAGCGAGGTTCGCAGCGCAGTGACCTTGCCTGTGCTGTCCACCTGGAGACCGACCATAGTTCCAGCTCGGCCTGTGACGAAGGATACCCAGAGTTCGAGACATTCGTTGCGGAGTTAAGTGATGGCATTCTCAGTGTCGACCCAGCTAGCCTGCTCGTGCTGGTAACATTCGAAATTAGGACCTGCCAATGGCCCGCTGAGAACCTGGTACAGGCGCCTGGCGGCCTCAACAGTGTCCAATTTCCTCCATGGTAGACTTGCCTTGGCCAATGCCGCCGTGGTCCTGTCGATGTAAGTGCCCGGGTTCCTCGTGTTGCTGGTGAGGAGAAACGCCGAGGGACCAAAAGTGTGGCTGTACTTGGGACGTTGTGACCACTTCTTATCCGCATCATAGGCCAGGCGAAGATAGTCTGGATCTGCATAGTCGAATTGCATCACACGTGAGATGTCTACGCTCGAGCCGTCAGGAACCTTTGGACACTTAGCATACCTCTCAAACGAGGTAGACTCTTTCCTTACTGGGGCAACATGCCGATGCAGGACTGTGATGTTGTGATAGCCTTCAGAAGCCAGCTCATACGCCGTGGTCAAACCAAAGGCCAGGGCGCCCACGATGATGATGGCAGCGTCTGTCTTCATCTTTTTTGCCATCGTCAGTTAAATAAAATCTTGTTGTACACAGCTGTATCATTCGAGTTCAAGCTGTTATGCTGGTAGATAGGAAACAGAAAGGCCAATGAACGAGGCTTTAACAATGGGTGCCACATGGACCCGGACACCGACGGCATTCGACCCGGACTTCCAATGACTTGAGGGCAAAATTAGCATTCCCGATGAGTGAATGGTGTGATCTCGCGTGTTTAGTGGTTATATTGAAACGGGTTTGACCGCAGGAGCGATCTCCACCTGGTCTTGAAGAGCGATGGGAAGGGGAGGTATCACGGTTTGCTATCGTTGGCGGAAGCTGGCCCCGGAGTTGTGCTTGGAGGCGACATCTCGGTGTGTAGCATCGACGATAATAGATTTTGCAGACACCATGACCAAAATTTTGATCTTGAGATCATTAAGCCTTCGTGAGTTGTCAGGGCTTGCCCGTCCCTGGGGCCAACCGATCCTGCCATACCTCATCTCGAGGTTGCCTTGGTGGCGGCGAGCCCGCATCGCATGATATGCACACAGCAAAGCTGGGGGTAATTGTCATGTGACAATTCAAGCCCGGCCCCATGTGCGACGTTTCGCATGACCAGGTCAGTGACTGTATTACTTGAGCTCGAGGTCAGGTACACACCCGGTGTCGCACGATATCAGGAGCGAGTCCATTTGCCCTACTTTGACTTGCATGGTGGCCATCAACGGTGAGCCTGTGTGTGGGCCGGGGGCAGGGTCTCCGTGTTCCGTAGAATACTAGGTACCCATCAAGTACGGGCCGACGGCGGCTAAGGAGGGAGAGAGGCAAGGAGGGAGAGTACAGCGGACTAAATCGTGCGACAGGTGTTAGATGTGAAATTCGGATAGACTAGTGTCAGTGCTGTCTAGTTGTTGTTGTAAGACCCTTCGTTGCGCCCAGACGTTCGAGTTGTCTTGAGCATCTGGCTCCAAGATGCTCAAACACATGACACTTGGAGCGAACCGAGCAGGGTATGGATAAAGTGACATGGTAAGCATGGATGGCGAGATGGGTGTGCAACAGGTACCGAGAACACCGCGCCAAGCGAGACCCTGTCCGCGTCGTACCATTCATGTCCCCCAGCTCCCCCTCAATCCGCAAGCCTCACCAGCTTCCACAGCTTCAAGCCAGCTGATATGGAGGTATCACCCACAATTCCCCATTGTTGGAGAACTTCTCACGCCACAAAGCCACCGCAGCATCATCTTACAATGTCTTTATTACATTCAGATCGTCTGCTCCACAATCATCGCTCTTCCGGATCAAGATCTTGGCTAGCTTGGTCAGTCCCTGCAATACCGGTATCTTCTAGAAAATGGCCCACGACCAAGTGCCGGCGACCATGAAGGCCCATGTACTTGAGGAGTACAATACGCCTTATCAACTGCGCGATCTCCCGGTGCCAGCCATCGAATGTGCACATGACATCCTCATCAAAGTAGATGCGGCTTCATACTGCCACACAGATGCAGTCCTCGCTTCGGGAAAAATGCGCCCTCCACCTCTTCCACACATAGGCTGCCACGAATTTGCCGGGACTGTCGTTCGCATGGCTGACCAGCCTCCTGCACACGGGTTGAAGGTGGGCGACCGCGTGGCTGTCCCGGGCCGTGGAAATCATGTCTGTGGGAGATGTCTCGAGTGCCAGGATCCTTCTGGCCCCCTCCCCGATGAGCCTGGCTATTCTGTCTATTGTCCCAACGCTGGCGGCGGTCTTGGTGTAGGCAGTAAACCAGGAGGTTTCCGAGAGTACGCCGTGGTCGACTCACGACAAGTAGCCAAAATTCCCGACAGTATGACCGCCGTGGAAGCTGCACCACTGATGTGCGCAGGACTCACCATCTTCGCGGCACTGAGAAAATGTGAGCTCGAGCCTGGACAGCGAGTAGGGATCATGGGATGCGGAGGAGGGCTTGGGCACTTGGGTTTGCAGTTTGCCACCAACATGGGCCTGAAGACAACTGGAGTTGACGTAGCGTCGCAGGCGCTGGGATTGGCACGAAGCCTGGAGACTGGTGCTACGATTATCGACGCCTCGACCAAAAGCGCAGCAGAGGCCAAGCAGGAGATGGGCACAGAGGACGGCAGACAGCATCCATCCGAGATGGGACTGGACGCTGTAATCATCTTGCCCGAGAGTCAGAAGTCTTTCGATTACGGGATGGAGCTGCTGAAGAACGGCGGCCTCTTGGTTCTGGTATCTTTCCCACCCGAGGGGTTCCATATCTCAGCAGATGACCTGGTCTTTCGTCGCATTCGCGTGGTTGGCAGCTTGATTGGTTCCAACAAAGCCATGAGAGACATGTTTGATTTCTGCGTCAAGAAGGGCGTGAAGGCAAAATCCAGAACATATCCCTTCCCGAAGCTCAACCAATTGGTGACTGACTATCACGCGGGCGTCGGTGGCAAGCTAGTCCTGGACATGTTAATGAAGGAGTGAATGACTTTACTCCTCACTCTAGGGAGTCTGTATGGTTTGCTCATCTCTGGCCAGATCTCGATTGTATTGACTACAGGGTGTATTCAGTCCAAATCTTAACCTTGGTGATGAGATCAGGATTCCACTGCAGCCTCGCTTTCAATGACTCAGTTTGCATTCCTCACCGTCAAATATGCGGCCGCCCTGTGGTTCGTCGGAATGTCGGAATGGTTTACGTCTCCCGCCATCCACAGTGCATTTATTCAATCTCGTCATCGGGAGGTGTTGCCGTTTTCATTATGCTTTGACACGAGACGTCGATCTGGGGTCAGAAACCCCCTGCGGTCCACCGACGTCATGAATGTGAACTTTCTATCAAGTGTCTGCATCAGTCCAAAGGGCGGCAAATCTGGGGGTGAGGGTCATGAACAGCAGCGGCTGTCTATTTCCCCGCAAATTCTTTCCCCGAACCTTCGGCTTTTGTTGTCGAGGGGCATTACAACCGACGTGGGACAATCAATCAAATCCCGTAGATCAGCGCAAAACCGGCAATCCAGCCGGAGAACGAGCATGATTGAACATTTTAGGAACTTCAAGGTAGACTCCACAGGCGCTCGTGTTGGTGGCCTAAAGACGGACAGGACACGCTTCGTTGTGGTCGTCTACAAACCCCCTTGGGCTTGATGCACTCCATGCGAGTATCGCTTCTGCATTTTGCCGGCTATTAATTTGTTAAATTCAGCGCAAAAGGATTCCTTCAATGCGCCAGGGTTACTGCTGACAGTTACAGTAGAGGATTCCATATGCGCAATGTCGTCGTCGTGCGCTGACGGCTATGCCGCCTACCCGTCCCAGGAGCCTCTAGCCATCACACCGGGTTTGCTATACAAAGTCAAGATCGACACATCCAACACCAGGGACCCCAAGTGTTCCCAAGAAAGCTTAAGCGCAATTGGCAGAGAATCCAAGATAGTCAAGACCGGACAACAACCATCATCCACAAAGCCAAGGGTTCTTGTGTAGACGATCGTCATCTACGCATCCGAGACTTCAGCGCGTTGTAACGCTGGTCCGGAGTCGTTCCGATGGATCTGCTCGATCATTTCCCCTTTGTTTAGAACATGTGAGTGATCCAACCAACAAGAGCTGCCAATATCACCGTCCTTTGGCCCTCCGACCCACCGAGAATCCTGCTACAGATACTGCTTTGGCAACAGAACGTTTTGCTGGAGACCCCGGCCCCATGGTTGCGGGGCATGATGTACATTCCGACTTCCTCATCGAAGACGCTGCGCGTGCCAGCCATGCAAGGTCGCCATCTATCTTCCCTCCCCCCAGCTGGATCCGTTGCTCGCTCGCTGGGACCCCGAGGAGATTGTGAGCGATGAGTGTCTGCCCCCGCCTGAACATGTGGGTTGGCAGTTGGAAGTGATAAACCTGAATAAGCCCTCCAAGGGTCTTCTTCTCTTCTACAATCAGTCCTGCCAACCTATCCTACCACCGGATACAGTACCAATATGGCATCGCAAGATCCTCAGATCACGCACGATCCCGCCACGAACAGGTAAGCACCTGCCCTGCCTAGCCTACAGAGCAATATGCCTGACATGGAAAGCGGCGACGATGAGAAGTATGTGGGTGAAAAGAAAGAGACGACATATATCGACCTGGAGAATAGCGCAACGGCAAAGTAGGACAACCTCCTGCCGCCTATATGCTACGTTTGTGGCTGAGAAATGATTAGGATCAAAAACCCCTTGGCTCACCTTTCCACTGAGGAAGTCATCAAGGATGTTGAGGAGTTCGCAAGGAGCAATGACTTCACGGACCTCACAGACCTCCTCGTAAGGGGCGCGCTTGTCGCAAAGGATCCTCCTGCCTTTGAGAGCGTTCCAGGTCTTACCGAGCCGGAGAAAGAAGCCATTCGCAACGAGGTCCTGCACAAGTGGCGTCAACCAAAGTCGCTCTACTTCACCATTATCCTTTGCTCTATCGGAGCAGCCGTACAGGGTTGGGATCAGACGGGCTCCAATGGCGCCAACCTCTCCTTCCCTGATGCTTTAGGCATTCCGATCAGCGACCAGCTGGCAAATGGACAACCCAACCCAAACGCAGCACGCAATCAGTGGTACCAAGGCCTGATAAATGCCGGTCCCTACATCGCCTCAGCATTCATGTAAGCCACCTAGACTCACGATGGCAGGTTGTGATACTGACACCGTTAAAGTGGCTGTTGGTGTTCTGATCCCCTCAACAACTACTTTGGTCGCCGAGGAACCATCTTTGTGTCTGCCGTCTTTTGCTTCCTGAGCCCAATTGGTTCTGCTGTCGCCCAGAGTAAGTACATCCATGGAATTAGCGTAAACTCCTTTGCTGACACCCCATAAGCGTGGGATCAACTGCTCGTCACTCGACTTCTGCTCGGCATTGGGATGGGCTGTAAGGGTTCAACCGTCCCCATCTTCAGCGCAGAAAATGCACCTGCGTCGGTTCGAGGTGGGCTAGTGATGAGTTGGCAAATGTGGACAGCTTTCGGCATATTTTTGGGCACTTGTGCCAATCTGGCTGTCAAGGACACCGGCTCCATCTCGTGGCGCCTTCAGTTTGGATCTGCTCTGATCCCCGCCTTGCCTCTTCTCATCGGAGTTTACTTCTGCCCAGGTGCGTTGACCTACACCTTTCGACCTACACTAGATAACTAACAGGCCTCTAGAGTCTCCCCGCTGGTACATCAAGAAGGGCAAATACCGCAATGCCTTCCAATCACTCCAGCGTCTCAGAAACACCGATCTCCAGGCCGCCCGTGATTTGTACTACATCTTTGCTCAACTGCGCATGGAGGCCAGCCTGGTCAAGAAGAAGACCAACTATGTGACGCGCTTTATTCAGTTGTTCACGATTCCACGAGTTCGCCGAGCCACTTTGGCATCCTTCACCGTGATGATTGCACAACAAATGTGCGGGAGTAAGTACAATGAGTCTTCGTTAGCTTTGACGATGTACTGAATCGAAGCACAGTCAACATCATCGCCTTTTACAGCTCCACTGTGTTCTCCGAGGCCGGTGCATCTGTTACTGACTCACTGTTGGCATCCTGGGGCTTTGGGCTCGTGAACTTTGTATTTGCGTGGCCCGCAATTTGGACCATCGACACCTTCGGCCGCCGATCGCTCCTGTTGTTCACGTTCCCGCAGATGGCATGGACCTTGCTCGCTGCAGGTCTTTGCTATTTGATCCCATCGTCAAGTTCAGCGCATCTGGGTCTGGTCGCCCTTTTCATCTACTTGGTGCGTCAAAAACTCCTTCCTCTCACCGTGACAAGGACTATACTGACCCTTTCCAACAGTTTGCAGCCTTCTACTCTCCAGGCGAAGGTCCTGTGCCTTTCACATACTCAGCCGAGGTCTTCCCTCTCTCACACCGTGAGGTGGGTATGGCATGGGCAGTGGCAACCTGCTTGTTTTGGGCAGCCGTCCTCTCAATCACTTTCCCGCGAATGCTGTCCGCCATGAGTCCAGCAGGTGCCTTTGGATTCTATGCCGGTCTCAACATCTGTGCACTCGTCATGATTTTCCTCTGGTTGCCAGAAACCAAACAAAGGACCTTGGTAAACCAAATCTTAACCCCCTAGTCCCTCTCCTGTACCACTTCTGACCTTGAGCACAGGAGGAGCTTGATTATATCTTCGCCATTCCGACCCGCACCTTTATGAAGCATCAAGTAGGCACCGTTCTGCCGTGGTGGATCAAGACTACCATCTTCCGCCGCAAGATAGGTCCTTGCCCTTCACTTTGGTCATTTGATGGTCATGTCGACAACGACAAAGAGTTCGTGGAGACCATCCGCAGACAAAGTGAGGCTATCCAGGGCGGTCGGCGCCGGAGCAGCATTGCAGATAGGATTGCCAACCGATTCTAAACTTGTGTCGGTAGAGGACTACGATGTTGTGGGAAGGAATAGTGATGGGGATATCTCGAACAGGAGGAACTCAGGATAAGGAAATTGCCCAATACCCCGCCGTTGAAGGCTGTGTTAGAAGGATGATCCTAGTTGAGTATAGGTATGCATAAAGCATGTACGTAGAACGTCGTCTAACAAATCATAAAGGCGACAATGATGAGTCTGTGCGAATGAAGTTGTCATTGCTTGATGGTTGCAAATTAAAGGTGAACACTTCTCACACAGATGACAGATGCTGGACTTTGTCACTTTTCGCACCGTTGTTTCGCCATTGGTCGTAGAGAGCTAGAGTTGGTATTTCAAACATGAGCAACTGTATGTGGTATCATGCGAAAAATCTGTCCGTTCCCTTCATCTACATCTTCTCTCTGTGATTAGCCACTCGCACTCTGACTCACCTAAATCTTCCTGAGTGCTTCCCGCAGTTTTCCTATTGCCTGCCATTAATTTCTCCCCCTCCATACTCATTTTTCAAATCCCCAATTGTCTCTTTCACGCCAAAGCAAACCTCTCTGCGCTAAGTCCGTACCTCCGTTCCAATCGTCTCCCAACCCGTCTCGCCGAGCCAAGTCCCATCTTCGGCGTTGGATGCGGTTCGTGGATATGAATTCCCCGAGTGTTCGTGTTCTCCCAATCCAATCCATCCAATGGAGTGAACTGCCATACGGAGCCATATAACTTCTCCGCTGCGAAGCCGATGCTTGTCATTGCGTGCAGGAAATCCGTCCAGGCATGTCCGCCGCCTGGGGAGGGATTAGAGGATGTCGGGAAGAGAAAGGCGAAGACTTTGTAAGCGCGTCGCGGCAGGGTGAAGACTGGGAAGGGCGGAGTCAGAACGTTGGGCAGGGCTCGTGTTGCGTTGCTAGAATCGGGCAGGGGACATGGGTCGCGAGTTTTGATCTTGGGTGCTCGAAATACTTCGGGTCCTTTGAAGCTGCTCGGTTTGTCGGGTTCGACGTTAAGGCGTGAAAATGAGTCACCAAGAGCTTCGTTTTCTTTCCCCTTGTCATTCGGCTGGGACACTCTTGGCGGAGGTGTCCATTCGGGAGTACGATGGATCTCTCGAGCTTTCATATCATGACTGAGGAATATCTCGTGAAGTGTCTTGTCGGTATGTTTCCGGAAATGCGCATCGACGACCTCCCACAACCTATCCAGTTGAGCTTCAGCTTGACGACAGGCATTCACGTTTGTCACGCTGTTGGCCTTTTCGATGGGATATTTCAGGTGTTTTGAGAATGGCACGACGATGCGTGCGAGGTTCGGAGTGATGTCTTCACGGAAAAATTGATAGACAGTTGCTGCATCTTCCGATGCTTTAGCGAAGCTCGGACCTCTCTTCTCTGGGCTCATGTCCATATCCAAACCCGCAGCCCATGGAAAGCAGGTCTTTACCTGCCCAATGATTTGTCCAATGAGGGATAGGTCGGAGAGATACCCGGCGACGTAGGACGACATTCTGCCCTTCTGACCAGGGTCGCGGTCAACGCATCGCTGTAGCTCGTCGACGAGATTGGGAAGCTGGGCTAAAAACACTTTGTCTGCATCCCACAGCATGGCAAATAGCTGTAGTAAGGGATCATTGCCGGCACTCTGTTTCGTCATGGCTCGCATGATGGTTGTTCCGGGCTTTGGGGGTTCTCGAACAAAGCGCTCACGTATTGGTGGTGTAGCTGGCACAGCAGTCTTCAATCTGCAACCAAGCCCTTTGAAACCATCTCGGCAGCAAAGCATAACTTCACCAAGGCGGTGTTGAGCTTCTCAGACAGAGGCCGGTTAGGGTAAAGAGTTCCGGCAGATTTGAATGCCTTGTCTAGACTGACTACGTATTTGTAAAGGATATCCCAACTGAGAAAGGACATGTAAGCCTCGACAGCTACGCTCCTCAGCACTCAGTTCTAGAAAACTTCGTCATCGTCTTGTGGATGGCGTTGGCCCTGTATGTCGAGAAGGCTTTCCAGGCGATGCTGCGCATGATCAACAGCTACCCATGCGAAATATCATGGATCTTCTCTAAGAAACCAAATGTGGTCTTCATCAGCAGCCTGCTTGGCCTCGACCAGAAGAACAAGTCGGTGCGTATCTAGTTTGGCTGGTGGTCTATACGGCGCTTCTGCTGCCAACGAAGACAGTTGTGCATAAGAGGTCTCTGAAGCAACGATCGGTGGTGGCTCAGGTTGCTCAAGAAGTTGGAGGTTGGCCAGCTCGTCTCGTGGTACATCATGGAATAATTGGTAACAGCACTCGAGAAGGAAAGAATAGATCTGGCTCTGGACTTCCAAAACGAGAAGCCCCGTTCCTGGCCGAAACTGGAGACTGTATTGTATGAGCATGAATGCGTCGTCGGGATCGTCCCAGCTAACAAGGCGGCCATAGCTACCTGCATCTGATATGCTAGAGATGTACATTGTGTATCCATTGAGGAACACCGGGATAATTATCTTGCTGGTCTGTCCAACATGCATTGCGTTGAGATCGGCGTGGGCAAAGGTATGGGGTGGATTTCGACCACGTGAATTCAAGAACAATAACAATGCTCGTCCTTGGAGAAGATCTTCCTGGTTGACATAAGGATACTTGAAAGCTTCGACATCTCTTGATGCAGCACGCGGTGCTGGCTTCTCAAGCTCATGAAAATCTGGTCGGTGTCGCTTAGGCATGCCTGGCCAAGCGGCTAAGAGTATTTTCTTGCGTTGTTCTTTTCTCTTGTTCATCCAGCGTTTTCGAATCACCTCTTCGCGCCGCGCCAAAATGGTACGGAGGGTGGACCAGCTCCTGAATATCTCTTTGGCATATGCCCTTGACTTGTTTCTGACTTCAGCAGGTGACGGAAATGAAAGGGGAACTGGTAGATTTGGGTTTGCCCGACTCGTCATTTCGAAGAATGCTTGTGGGTTGTTGTACAAGACATGTTGGGGTCCATGATATCCACCCAAACAATGTCACAAATTTCAATAGTACACTAAGACGCTATTGCGTCTGGTCTAGCGAGGAGAAAGATGCTGTCGAATGTCCTTTGTGACTTTACTGGGCAGAGGATGGGAGGGAAAGGCAAAGATTGTGGGGCAGGAAGAGATCTAGCTAGGTGGACGCGGGCTTAGTTGACACGTGGTCCGGGGTACCAGCGAACAGTTTACTCCTTTTCCTAATAGGGAGCTTACTTCCACGCACCCTTTGGCTCCATGACGGATACTGATGTTCTTCTGGCTGCCATGCTGTTATGCCATTGATAAACAATTCAGACATGTCCTTGAATCTTGCTTGTCCAAGTCTCACTCCTCAAGCATCTTCTTGCACGCGACTCTCTTTCGAGGCTGATATGCCTCGAGGCCTGCGCCCGCTGGTCTCCTGATAACTACGTCATGCTCACGTATGCATCTTTCAACCGGCTGGTGCCGCTGGTGCCGCCAACATCCATGTGGCCAGCCTTCACCACCATGAGTACCAAGTATAAATAATCATGCCCTACCCACCGTCTTAGTGTGCGTCTTTGCCCATAGTCGAGCCTACCTGCCCTTATCCTGTGAACGAAGCAGAGAAGCAGAGACCACACTGACACTATCCAAAAATGGCCGAAAAACTGCAGCAGACAACCCAAAACATCGTCGACGACATCAAGTCGGGACTACACGGCATCCACGGCGCAGGTGATGCTCTCCGGGGTGGCGCCATGGAGGTACTTGACAGCGTCTTCCACAAACAGGAGGGCGAGCAGAGGAATCGAGAGATCGCCGCGCATGGTCTGGCAGAGATGAGGGGTACCGAAGACCGCTTTGAAGATAGGCACCATCAACACGAGGCACACCATCTGGGAACTCAGCAGGACGGTGTAACCGAGCACCATCACCATCACTCTAGCCAGGGACAAGGAAGTCACTTTGCCGACGCTCATGCAAGAGACATGGCGATCGAAGAGCATCGTAAGGCAACAGGAATCGTGTCAGAAGAGGGCGACAGCATGAGCGCTGCACGGGCGGCGATGCAGGAGAACCATTAATTGGTCAGGGACTCATTGTCTCCTTGGGCGATGACCGATGGTGATGTTTGATTAGAGATCTTCTGCTTCATCCTCGCCTGGCGCTATTGATTATTGGGTCTCAGAATTCCGAGATTCCATCTTTCACCACGATTTTTCCAACATCATCATCTCTTGCTCCCTCCACAACACTTTTGATGAACTCTCCACCGATACTGGGGTGCTTCGCCCCCATCTCTTTGGCCAACAGTCGTGCGTTCCCCAAATCCGTCTCCAAGAATCCAGGCCCAACAGCCCAAACCTTGACTCCGTCTGCCTTCAATTTGTGATTCCAATCCACCATCAACATGTTCAGCGCTGTCTTACTGCACCGATACCCAATCGTCTCGAAATCGATCTTCTTCGGCCACCCAGCAGGTTGAGGCGGGGTGGGGAAATAAGACCTGCTCGCTTGTGTGACATTGGAGAGACCTGTGACGAAGATCAAACGAGGATCTGGAGACTTGAGCAAGAGTGGCATGAATTTCCAGGTTAAAACGTTTGTACCCGCCACGTTGACGTTGTAGGATCTCATGAAGGAATCGCGGAGGCTAACCTCGCCGGCCACGAAGGCGAGGTCGAATGTCGCTCCTGTACGCTTGGGAGTCAGCTCAGGTCGGGGAAACATGACGCAAACGAGCCGCAGGATACTGTACCAGCATTATTTATGAGTGCGTCGATTTGTCCCAGCTTCGTCTTCACTTGATCGAATGCCATTTCGATCGACTCGTCATTGTTGAGATCGACTTGGAGCACTTCCACCGTATTGGCAGAGCCACTACATTCTTCGTGCAGCTTCTCCATCGCACGCTGCGCCTTCTCTAGAGAACGACTGCCCATAAGGACATGATATCGCTGGTTGGATTGAAGAAGCGCCTTCACTGTCTCGTAGCCAATGCCATTGTTGCCACCTTTCTCGTGCTCAGCGCCGCCACGACAAAATAACACTAAAAACCGAGTGATAAGGACAAGGACAAGGGCTCACCAGTTACAAGAGCAACTCTTCGGACAGCCATTGTCGCACTCGTCAATAACTCTTCCAGCGAGTCTCTTCCCTTGTCCTCTTGGTCGCGAAGACTGGAATCGCTCTGGTGGTATTCAGCTGCTAACCCAACGTCTCCAAACCTCCAGTCTCGACCTGAGTATGCTGTTCCTTATATGCTCCACGTCCGAAGATTCGGGTCGAGCACGAGTTTAATTGCCCCTCTTGACGGTTACAAGGGCGAACCCTGGCCCACTGCATCATGTTAGCTCAAAAACTCCACTCAAACCTTTGGTATTTCATTGGCGATGTAAATCATTCACAAACCAGAGCTATTCCTCCTCTGGACAAACCCTGCGAGACAGGGCAAATGGTTCTGATGATGGTGCAAAGGTTAGCTTGGTCCACGGACCGGAATTGATCCATTACTACTGGCCAGCCTGCTCCCCGCATACACCATGAGTGCCGGAGAGTTTCTTCATGCTGCCCCAAGTACCTCAGGCAACCGGACCCTCGATGGGGACGCCTCCTGGCGAGCTCATCAGAAGGCTCACGAGGAGCACTGAACGAGTAAGCAAATTCACAGATAAGACAATGTGAAAGATCTTGTAGAAGGAAGAAGGGGGGAAGTAGTTGCAAAAGTTACTGAGTATTTAATGCTGCGCTTTACTTGCCTCCTTGGCTGGCATTCGGTGGGAACATATTAAGGCTAGCGAAGGACACGCGTGCGGCTAGTGTTAATCATTGTCAGACAGTCATTTCAATCCAACATATCAAGGTTCAAAAGTCGAATTAATTAAAAACCATGTGGATATTCTGAAGAGATAGCAACCTACTCCGAGCCCAATAAAACAGAGACAAGTGGCTATCTGGGCTATGCCATAACCATTGAGCCCAATACATACCAACTTTCCAGAGTAGGTAGAACGTGAAAGATTCATCTTCCACTGCATCACCTTCAAGATGTCTGTGCAATCCAACAATGCAGAACCCAGATGCAGACATCCACAACTTCCCAACCTCCCCATCCCAGCATCGACTGCCGACAGTTTCCGCGATTGAAGCCCTGCAAAATATAACATCCAAATGTAAAGGGATATCATGCAGTCTCCCAGCTTTGGACGAAATCCTTACAAACGACCGCAATGGACTCTCGAGGGCTACGCCTGGGATTCAAAGGGGCTACGTTACTGAAGTCTACGGACCACCAGGCGTGGGGAAGACCATCTTTGGCCTACAAGCTGCTGTCAATGCAATTCAATCCCGCCAGGAAGATTCCGAGGTCCTGTGGATCGATACAGGTTCTCCTTTTATCGCAGAAAGACTGGATGACCTGATGCGCACATCCACAGTCCCTGCGGAGACTGATCCCCCTTCATCACCTCCAGTGCCTTCGAATGCCGACATACTCCTGGAAGAAAACTTTACTCACCTCAGCGCCTACACGCTGCCTCGTCTGTTGACAGTCTTTTTGCATCCTCCCCACTCCTTTCCCTCTGCAAAGACGTGTTTGATCATCGTCGACGACCTCTCCAATCTCCTCCTTGGCTCATTTCCACGAAATCCACGAAATGTGAAGGCATCCGCGCCGGCAGCCGTAAGGGAGAAGTTTGAAAAGCAAGCTGTGTCGAAACGCTTTCAAATTATTGAGAACCTTGGAGCCGCCATGTCAAAGATGGCGGCACTCAAGAACATTGCGATCCTAGTCCTAACGAACACGACAACGAGCTTAAGACGTCATAATAGGGCAACCTTGAAAGCGGCATTAGCCAGCCAGGCTTGGGACTCTGCGGTACATACCCGAATTATGCTTTATCGTGACTTTGCAGAGGATGGACACGGCCTCGACATCTCAGGGAGGCAGTCAATGGGCTTGCGTTACGCGGAAGTTCAACGAATGGCCTGGAAAGACATCTGCACAAGCCCGATCCCGTTTGCTATCCTGTCAAAGGGCCTTCTGCAATTCAATGCGGCCACTTCGCCCAGTCAAGGTCTAGTTGATTCTCGACTCACCAATGACGTCGGAGTTTTCAATGTTGCGAAAGAAGAGGAACGCCAGCTACTCCCCACAGAACTCTCCCAGCCATCCCAGAGTGATATGCCAGCGCAGGGCAGAAAGCGGAAAATTATCGAGATCGGTGACAGCGAGGAGGAGGGCGAAGAAATCGGCACTGACGCGCCATCAGAATCGGACGAACCCGAGCTCCCAATCATGCATTCGAGACCTCGTGCGATAATCGATGAGATGATCCTGGAGACACATGAGACAGCACTGTTGAGAAGGAACCGCTACATACGTATCAGAGGCTCGGAGGACGACATTCCTGTGCCGTCATCGGATTTAGCTGCGGAGGTCGACACAGCTTCACCGCCCGATGACCATCGCCCGTGAGAATCACAGGTCCAGATGATACATGTATATCTGGCAGCGAAATAATCGTTGTGATTCTAGCTCCGCATTCTAGGGCAAGCTTTGTTCCAGAAGTTTTCCTGTGCTTGCAAGATCTAGCGTCAACGAATTGCAGGAGACTGGGCACATATTACCGGGTACCTGGACAAGAAGCCCTCGGGCCCGATGGCTGCGGGGTGACCTATTTTAAGTGCCCCTCCCTGCTGCGGTGATAGCACCTAGATAGTGCCTGCGTCTGACCTGAATGACTTTCGACCCCACCAACCACCAAACGCGCTGTGCGCAGCCATCGCAGCCCCGGATGCAAATTGGTTTGTCTGACGAACAAATATCAACGTGGTTCCTTTAGACGGCATTTTGGCTTGTCTGGGGCGCATTTCAGAAATCAGCTGAATACACACCTAGTCACCTTCTCTTGCGGTTGCTCACAAGAACTCTTCTTTCATGATCCTCTCGTGCTAAGGCTTTCTTCTGGGCTCTTGAAGCTGGCTTTGTTCTCTCTAGGCGTACCGCTTGTCTGTAACCTCTCTGTTTCCCCGCGCCCTCAGCCGTCAGCGTCCTCTTGCTTGCCTTCAGTTCTACGATCCTTTACCTAGACCGCAGTTCAGCTGAAGGAACATTGAGAAGAAAAACTGGATATGGCGTCGCAAGGGCAACAAAAGCCGCAGATTCAGCCTTGCCGTTACAAAACTGGTATGCTTATCAGTCGGACATCGAATGGAGCATCTTGCTTACGTTCTACGTAGGGAAAACACTCGGCGCAGGCTCATACTCTGTGGTCAAAGAATGCGTGCACATAGACACTGGGAGGTACTATGCAGCAAAAGGTATGTTCGAGGACTTTACAGAGCGTTCATCATGGCTTATCTATTCGCAGTCATCAACAAACGGCTTATGGCCGGACGGGAACATATGGTCAATAATGGCCCCTATCACCCTCATCGAGCCTACAGCTAACAGAAACTTTGACAGGTGCGAAATGAAATCGCAGTCTTGAAACGTGTCTCAGTAGGGCATCGCAACATCCTCACTCTAGTTGACTACTTTGAAACCATGAACAATTGTACAGCTCGACATCCCGAGAGTTGCGAGCCAGTCTGACATCGACATAGTATACCTTGTGACAGACCTTGCACTGGGCGGAGAGCTGTTCGATCGCATCTGCCGCAAGGGCTCCTACTACGAGTCTGACGCCGCCGACTTGATTCGAGCAACTCTGTCTGCAGTTGCATATCTCCACGACCACGGCATCGTGCATAGAGACTTGAAACCAGAGAATCTATTATTCAGAACACCAGAAGACAATGCCGACCTCTTGATTGCGGATTTTGGCTTGTCGAGGATTATGGACGAAGAACAATTTCATGTCTTGACCACGACATGCGGCACACCAGGATATATGGCGCCTGAGATATTCAAAAAGACAGGTCATGGAAAACCTGTGTGAGTAAAGCCCATTTTGATCCGTGCCACGACCGTCAAAGACTGATGCAGAATTTTTAGCGACATCTGGGCGATCGGTGTTATCACATACTTTCTCCTCTGCGGCTATACTCCGTTCGACCGTGACTCAAACCTGGAAGAAATGCAAGCCATACTTGCCGCCGATTACTCGTTCACGCCTGTCGAGTACTGGCGCAATGTCTCCGACACTGCGAGAGACTTTATCAAACGCTGCCTCACGATCGATCCGCACGCTCGCATGACTGCACATCAAGCTCTGCAACACCCCTGGATCAAGCCAGACACCGACCCCACATCTCCCGTCAAAGGGCCCGGAGACGGTCAAGACCTTTTACCAACGGTGAAGAAGAATTTCAACGCGAGGAGAACACTCCATAAGGCCATCGACACTGTCCGTGCGATCAACAAACTGCGAGAGGGCGGCGGACTGATGGCGGGCCACATGGACGGTGCCATGAGCGTGGACCCAAAACCCAAGCCCGAGATGGTCAATGGAAGCAAGGTCCTCAACGACCAGGGCCAGCAGATCCAAGGGGAGGAAGCGACGGGTGCGAATGCCTCACAAGGCGACGCTGATGCAATGGAAATCGATTCCAGAGGGAATGCCAGGGGCCAGACAGAGGACCAAATCCGCCGCCAGCAGCAAAAGATTAATGACACGATGTCGGGTCTGTGGGGAAATCAGCATGCAGCTCACGGCGACTAGACCATTTGGGGGGATTTATTTTGGTGTCGTCCTATAGCCCGAAGATGATGTGTTCCTCTGAAAGTTAGATGGCCTCCCAAGCGGATTGGAATGAGGCGGTCGGGTGATTTATGATGTTGACCACGGCTGGATGATTGATTTTCCTTCCACGAATAGGTACGAAGTCGACCAAGAGGGACGCACAATATGGACGACTCCTGCGAGTCCAGGCACTAAGGATCCGGCATTCCTTCATGGCAACGGAATACCCGGTTCAATACTGGATGAATTTGACCTCATGACACAATTTCATATCAAGACTGGACAGACACTCCGGAATAAACAGCAAAGTGGCAATTGGGGGCTTTACGGGTATCAATCTCGATTCCAACGCGGATAGCTAACGCTACGTAGCAGTACAGTTTCGCCCGTTGCTCTACCCCTGACCTCGACCTCACGAGATGGCAACGCATGAGATCTTAGCGTCGTTCCGTCATGAAGGTCATACCATTCCAAGGGGCCGTACGCCATGGCTCATGCAGAAGCAAAGTACACCTTTTTGGATTCTTTCTTTGGCCGGGCAGGTCACTCTCCTTGATCCATCCCGCCAGGCGCCTGTTGTCTCCCCATCTGCCTCGCCTTCAACAACTCATCACATAACAGCAGGTTACTCGCAATTCCCTGACTGCTCGCGATACTGTTCCTCAACACGCGGAACCCGTCAAACACGCCTTCTTGCACAGGATCCATTGGCTCTCCAGTCACGAGATCTAATCCAACCACATTTCCCTCGGCAAATTCATCTTGCAGGGCGGCTAGTGCGTCCTGGATGTCGTGTCCAGAATTTGCGGCGAGTGTTTTCGGGATGATCAAAAGGGCGTCTGCGAAGGCAGCAACACCCCATTTGGCTTTGCCCTTGACTGTTTTTCGCACCGCTTCTGACGAAAGGTGTGCTGCAGCGGCGATCTGGAACGACCCAGCCCCAGGAACGACACACCCGTCCACAATGGTGTTGTATACGCTTCGTAATCCGTCTCTGACTGCGTCTGTAATTTGGGTGATGCTGTGCTGGTTGGGCCCCTTAATTAGAAGTGTAACTGATTTCGGGTCTTTCACTTCCTCGACAAAGGTATATTTCTCCTCGCCCAGGGTCTGTTCATAGACCAGTCCTGCCCATCCAAGCACTGAAGGATCGAGATCATCAACACTGTTCTGCGCCTTTCCACCGCATACGAGTTGGAGACGTTCCATGTTCCGTCTCTTTGCTCGCCTAAGCGCCAAGATGCCGTTCTTGACAAGGACGTCGAGACTCAGTGGATCGATACCCTTCTGGTTTATCACCACAAAGGACTTCTTAGGATCGGATCCACAAACTTCATTCTTTAGAGCGACAATCTTCTTGAGCTTTTCATCAACGAAGCGACGCTCTGAAGCGACAAGTTTGTCTCTTTGTTCGGCGCTGCTGTAATAAAACCCGGAGTTGATTTCAGACTTTTCATATTCGAGAGAGACATTCAAGGTGAGAATGAAAGCGTTCTCGACTCGTTTCGGCATATCAGGATGTCGCGCGCCATGGTCTAACACTAGACCTCGAATCAAGGTGGTGTCAGAACTTAGTTTGTGTTGCAATTTCATGATTTCGATCATGTGCAAGTCGGGTTTTTGAGGAGGCCGGTGGATGGCTAATACGGCGTCAACGATAGATGGCGTCAGCTGTGCGGCAAGAGCGGCGTTGATCTTTGTGGAGAGGGAAGTTTTTGCAATCGAGAGAAGTAGATTGCGGTCGATATCACGGGTGATTTTGAAGGTGTCAAGAAACTTGAGGGTCTCTGTTTTGGCGATTTCAAAGCCGTCGGTGATGACTCTTGGATGCAGACCTTCTTGGATGTATCGGTCTGCTTGTTTTAGGAGCTCGCCTATCAGTAGCACCACAGACGTTGTGCCGTCGCCAGTAATGTCGTCCTGCGCCGTTGCAGCGCGAGCAATCAAGGTGGCGGTGGGGTTTTGTATTGACATCTCTTTCAGCAACACCGCACCATCTTTTGTCAGCTTGATTTGACCTGACCCGTCAACCAACATCTTGATTGTGCCCGAAGGGCCCAGGTTCGACTTGAGAACATCCTGGAGGCCTTCCCCTGCGTTGATGTTGATTCGAAGTGCCTCTGCTCTCCGGCGAGATTCTGCTTTAGGGTTCAAAAGCTGCGTTGCTGTACATGGTCAGATAGATGGTCGCCGGAAAAAGATCAGTAGACTTACCAGACATCTTGTAGTTGTACAGATCATGGTGGTAACACTAGAATCGCCCTGTTTGAACTTTCATGGCGGGATTGCATACAATTTCATGCCAAGGATTCTCGTTGATCTTGGAAGGTCTGCCGGGGAGCACTTACGCCAATCATGTTGCGTGCCAAGACCAAAAACCCGCAAATCAGAGCATCCTCAGTGCAACTTCTGAAGCTGCGGAATTATTTTCTGGGAGAGTCTTAAAATTTCGAGGCGAAACTCACGCTCTCACAGCATCTGTTCCTTAGTAGGCATTGATTACAGCTACAACTTTCAGACTTCCCAGAGGTGTGACTTGGGTAGCCTAGGTGGACTGTGAAGCCTGCACCCTCCAATCCCCAATTACACAGTTGCGCCATGGCCGATTTTCTCCTCCATGAAGGGCCTATGGGCTATTCCGTGTTCAAGGTCGTCCACCAGGCTGATACTGTCGGCAATCGTCTGAAGGAGGTTCAAGATAGTGTTCAAGATCTTGCACGATTTGGGAAGATGGTGGACCTCGTCAGTTTCCTTCCATTCGAGTACGACTCTCATCATCACTCAATTATAGTGCATCGCTAACCATACCTCAGGAGCGGAAAGCAAGCGCTTTCAGAGCTGAACGACATCTCTGAAGGCATCGCATCAGACTATCTCAAATCCTTCCTCGAACTAAACCTCCCAAAGGCTGGAAAGAAGAACAAAATTACCTTGGGTGTCTCAGACAAAATCCTTGCGGCCAGCATTAAGACAGCATTCCCCAACATCGAGTGTGAGACTGGAGACACAAGCGAAGTCGTTCAGGACATGCTTCGAGGAATCCGGCTACACTCCGAGAAGCTCCTCAAACAACTCCGCGAAGGTGATACGAATACCGCACAGCTTGGTCTAGGCCATGCGTACTCGCGGGCCAAGGTCAAGTTTTCCGTGCAGAAAAACGACAACCATATTATTCAGGCTATCGCAATACTCGACCAGCTAGATAAAGCGATCAACACCTTTTCTATGCGTGTGCGCGAATGGTATTCATGGCACTTCCCAGAGCTCATCAAGATCGTCTCAGACAACCACAAGTATGCCAAGGTAGCACTATTCGTCAAGGACAAGAATACCTTATCCCACAGCAGCCTTCACGACCTAGCTGCAGTAGTAGATGACGACGAGGAAATCGCAAAGAGTATCATCGATGCGGCCAAAATAAGCATGGGTCAAGAAATTTCGTCTTCAGATATGGAAAATGTGACCTTGTTTGCGGAACGAGTGGTCAGCCTCGCGAACTACCGAAAGACACTGCACAGCTATCTCGTCTCTAAGATGGGCGTGGTTGCGCCCAACTTGGCTGCCCTTATTGGGGAAATCGTGGGAGCCCGGTTAATCTCTCACGCTGGCAGTCTGACCAATCTGTCAAAATATCCCGCTTCTACAGTTCAGATATTGGGAGCGGAAAAGGCTCTTTTCAGGGCATTGAAAACAAAAGGAAACACGCCCAAGTATGGACTGTTATACCACTCCTCATTTATTGGAAGAGCCGGGCAGAAAAACAAAGGAAGAATATCACGATTTCTCGCAAACAAGTGCTCGATCGCCTCAAGGATTGACAACTTCTCCGAAACTCCATCTACAGTCTTTGGACAAGCACTAAAGAAACAAGTTGAGGAACGTCTAGAATTTTATTCCTCAGGGGCACAACCCACCAAGAACGAGGCAGCGATGGTAGGTTGTGACAATCTTACAACGATGGCCGCACGCTAACTTCGCGCACAGAAGGATGCTATGGAAAAGGTCCTTGCAGAAATGGAAATCGAATCCCCCACTAAAACAGCCACCGATCAAAGTGAAACAGCAGCCCAGAAGCCGGACAGCGCAAAGAAGGACAAGAAGAAGGATAAGAAGGAGAGGAAAGACAAGGCCGTAGACCCAGAAGACACTGGCAAAAAGGAGAAAAAGGATAAGAAGCGGAAAGTGACCGAGTTGGATAGTGAGGGCGGCGAGAAGAAAAAGAAGAAATCAAAATCCAGGGATTAGGAGGGAGTCCAGGAATGGTTTCTTTTTGGCAAGGTGTTGGCGGTCCTTTTATTATTATGCTTGCTATGAGGCATTGAGCTTTAGCCAGTGCATTCCCTGGTTACTCGGTATTGATAACTCTACAGTGACGAGTCCCTTGGCATGTATGAGATACAAATAAGTTGACAATGCGGGAGGCGCTTCAAGCTCCACACCAATATCATGACTGTACCTGAATTCGTTGTTAGCTTCCTGGCTGGGACAAGTCACTTTTGAAGCCCTGTTGCGTGGCACAGCCCCTCTCCCTTATCGCTGGCAGCAATTTTGACGCATTTGCACTTTGGATCAGTTTCTTTGACCCAATAGAAAGAAGTCTGTTGAGAGCTTTGAGGAGAGTTTTAACTCGCCGCAACATCTATTGGCCGAGGACGTTGTGTCACTGTCAACCTCTCACTCCAGTACTTACGCTTCACATGTGTCATTAGATCCATGACGTTCTATAAAGCGCACGTGAAAGAGTCGCTGACACTTACACATTACCCATGGTGGACTGCTGGATAGATCTGCGGGAGTTGCTCTTAGTGCGCATGACCGTCTTATTTGCACTGTCCCCCAAAGTCCGTGCATGATGACCTCAACTTCCCCCAAGAGAAAGCTAGGCTACCTCCACCCCTTGGATACGGAGGCGCCTGGACCTCGGCTTTTGAGTGAAAGCGACTTGGAAGGATATGACGAAGGTAGTCCGCGAAGCAAAGTCGCGCGGAAGTTGGATGACCTCGAAATCCACGGTCGTCGGGATCAGGAAAATCACGACACCAGTGAGAGGCAGCAAAGACTCCTCACGATTCCTGTAATATCATCGACTGGAACACCTGACCACGATGGGGACATTGCGTCGCCAGAGAACAAGCAAATATCAAAAAGTCTGACAGAAGCTGATCCCACACCTACTACCGACCCAACAAACCGACCAGGAAATCTATCCCGCTCCAAGTCTCCGCCCATGGCAAGTGGCTTGTCTCATGGATTTTGGCAAGATTCTGAGATCACTGGTCATGATCCCGACGACCCGAGTGACGACGGATATGGGATAAACGGCATTGGTTTCAAACCAACAGCAGCAGTGGCATGGTCAAGATCGCAGCGGCGGAAACAGCAACTGTCCAACTACAAGAATCGCGAAGCGCGAGAAGCGAGACAACAGAGAAGTGAGAGGAGAAAACGTGGTCTCGACGAAGACGAAAACTCATTAACCATCGAGTCCTCGCCTCGTAAGACCGCCCGTGTTCATTTCCACGACGGCTGAGATCAGCCAAACCTGAGAGAGGGCCAATTTTCCCTCCACACCCTCGGACCTAAGACAACCATCATTAAAGTACCATATGATACACGCATGGAGCCCGGCAAGGACTCCTTTCCACCGTCAGTCAGTGAACGCCGCGCGCCACGAACTGTTCATCCTTAAGACAGCAATACCTTTACCAGAATTTGTACCAGTGAGCTCTCCGTTTCCGTTCCTGCTCCTCAATGTCTGCGGCTGCGGCTGCGGCTGCGCGCGCAGCTTCCTCAGCCGCCTTCTCCCGAGCTTTCTTCTCATGAAGCATCTTCATGCCTTGAACAGCCATTGCCATGCCTCTAGCTTCCTCGCGTCGTCTTTGGTCGCACCAGTAGTACATTCCGGAGGCCGAGAGTGCAAATCCAGCGACTGCCAGGTTGGTGGTAATCAACATAGAAGAGAGCCCTACAAACAAGTCAGACTCAAAGGCTCAAGATTCAAGGAAGGGTGACTCGAGGACCTCTCAATATAAATCTAACACCTCCGACTGCCCCCCCAGAAGCTATTCCGACAAGCAGTGCATCTCTTGCGCAAGGTACTTGGTACCATGAAGGGCCTTTTCCTTCGTAGGAGAAGTTGAAGGCATCCCTCCAAGTCACCTCGGGAGGTTTACCGCCTGCTGAGTTGTACGTTCCTCCAGGCAAGGCATTTGCGGGCTCCGCAGGATTCCCAAGCATTTCCCACATCTTCCCAGCTTGGGTTTTTGGGAAGTCATGCTTGGGCTTCGGTCGTGTGAAAGGACGGGCATCTGACTGAGGCTTTTCATCAGCAGGTGAAGTGTCAGACTGCCGCGTATCATCCGCCATTGGGAAAGATCGATGTAGTGACTGAACGATGATCGAGAAAAGCTGCGGAGAAAGACGATACATGTGGAGAAAATGAACCGTCGTTTCGCGATCCAACGATCCGCCCTACACGACCGCGCCACGCGCTTTAATTGAGACGCGTCCAGCAATCAAGTTTCCTCGAGACATATCTTAGTATACGACTACAAATAGATCACCTGCGTTCTGTGTGCTACGAACCATACCGAAGGGTATCTAACATGACTTTGTATCTTATGTGACACAGTTCACGAGGATAAGTCGGTCTTTCTTCTCGAACCTCCGTCGACAATGCCCGTCCGAAAACCGTCTCGATATGGCTCGAACGTGAGACTCGGGAAGGATGCTCCTCGCGGGCGGCGAACGAAGACGATCGATGCCTCCACCCTGCGCACTACCGAGGGAACCTCCCAGGATGAGAAACTCCAAGCCACGCGGCTGGCAAACAGCATCGACGAAGCCATGGGCTTCCCGAGGTATGACTCGGGAAAGAGAAAAGTAGGATGGCTCTACAACATGCACAGTACCTCGATTGAAGACCCGAGAGTACCGGGTGGCCGCGCTGGAGTTGACTTCTATTTCATTGGAGAAGACGGTGACAATTTCAAGGCGACGGTTGATTATGACCCGTACTTCTTGCTGGCTGTGAAACGCGGCCGAGAAGCCGACGTCGAGGAGTGGTGCAAGAGAATGTTTGAAGGTCTTGTTAAATCGGTCAATCGCGTTACCAAGGAAGATCTCCAAATGCCCAACCACCTGCTTGGATACAAGCGAACATTTCTCCAGCTCACATTCGCGAACGTCTCGGATCTACTCACTGTTCGCAAGACACTCTTGCCCATTGCGGAAAGGAATAAAGAGAAAGTGAATGCGATGGATACGTACGCGGAGGTCGCCAGTGCGGCAGCGGGCTTTGATGTGTACGACGACGACCAGGTAACCGACGCTCGCCCCAATGGAATTGCCGATGCTAGCGACTACATTGTGGACATTCGGGAATATGACGTTCCATACCACGTTCGCGTTACCATCGACAAGGATATCAGAATTGGCAAATGGTACATCGTTGAGTCCACCCACGGCTCAGTTTCCCTGACGTGCTTGGAAGAGCGTTTGCAGCGAGCTGATCCCGTTGTCCTCGCATTCGATATCGAAACCACAAAACTACCTTTGAAGTTTCCTGATCAAGTCATCGATCAAATTATGATGATTTCATACATGATCGATGGGCAAGGCTTTCTCATCACCAACAGAGAAATCGTGTCGGAAGATATTGCCGATTTTGACTACACCCCGAAGGTGGAATACGAAGGGCCGTTTCTGATATTTAACGAGCCAAATGAACGCGCGTGCATTGAACGGTTCTTCTCTCATATCAAGGCAGCTCGACCTACTGTTATTGCGACATACAACGGAGACTTCTTCGACTGGCCCTTTGTCGAAGCTAGGGCTGGGGTGAACGGCATCGACATGTATGCTGAAATCGGATTTCGCAGGAACAGTGAAGATATCTACCAGAGCAACTACTGCGTCCACATGGACTGCTTTGCTTGGGTCAACAGAGATAGTTACCTGCCTCAAGGCAGCCGTGGTCTGAAAGCTGTTACGGTCGCAAAGCTAGGCTACGATCCTGATGAGCTCGATCCTGAACTTATGACCCCCTACGCCAACGACCATCCTCAAATTCTTGCAGAATATTCCGTTTCTGACGCTGTTGCAACATATTATCTTTACATGAAGTACATCCACCCTTTTATCTTTTCACTCTGCACAATTCTTCCGCTCAATCCCGACGATACACTACGGAAAGGAACAGGCACTTTATGCGAGATGTTATTGATGGTCCAGGCCTATCAGAAAAACATTGTCCTGCCCAACAAGCACAAAGAACCGAGGGAAGCTTTCTGGGAGGGGCATCTACTCGAGTCTGAGACGTACGTTGGCGGGCATGTTGAGAGCATTGAGGCCGGCGTCTTCCGTGCGGACATCCCTGTCAACTTTGCTATCGACACGACAGCGATTGATGAGCTCTTAAACGATCTCGATGCAGCTTTGAAATTCTGCATTACGGTCGAAGAGAAGAAATCATTGGACGATGTTACGAATTATGAAGAAATCCGAGCACAGATTGTTGAAAAATTAGAAGATCTGAAGAATATACCCAACAGGAATGAACGGCCTCTGATATACCATCTGGATGTTGCGTCCATGTATCCCAACATTATGACTACTAATCGTCTTCAACCTGATTCCATGATTGCCGAATCAGATTGTGCCGCCTGCGACTTCAATCGACCTGGGAAGACATGTGATCGCCGATTGCCTTGGGCATGGAGAGGCGAGTTCCTGCCTACAAAGAGAGATGAATACAACATGATACGCCGAGCAGTGGCAAATGAGACATTTCCTGGGAGAGGGCCCAAAGCACCGAGACGAACATTCCAAGAATTGAGCTTGGACGAGCAAGCTGCAATGGTGCGGAAAAGACTTCAAGAATATTCCAAAAAGATCTACCACAAGATCCACGATTCGAAAACCATCGAACGGGAGGCCATCATCTGCCAAAGAGAGAATCCTTTCTACGTCGACACCGTCCGTGACTTTCGAGACAGGCGGTACGACTTCAAGGGAAAACAGAAGGTTTGGAAGGGTAAGACAGAAGCACTCAAGTCTTCCGCAGCATCTGCTCAGGAGATCGAAGAGGCCAAAAAGATGATTGTCCTCTACGACTCTTTGCAACTTGCTCACAAGGTCATTCTCAACTCTTTTTACGGATACGTCATGCGCAAAGGATCCAGATGGTACTCCATGGAAATGGCGGGCGTCACTTGTCTCACTGGAGCGCATATTATCCAGATGGCGCGAGAACTTGTGGAACGAATCGGTCGGCCATTGGAATTGGACACCGATGGGATTTGGTGTATGCTTCCAGCGACGTTCCCGGAGAATGTCGTGTTCACGTTGAAAAATGGCAAGAAGATGGCAATTTCTTATCCTTGCGTGATGCTCAACCATCTGGTTCACGCACGGTTTACAAATCACCAGTACCAGAGTCTGGTGGACCCGGCTACATTCAAGTATGAAACACACAGCGATAATTCAATCTTCTTTGAGGTTGATGGTCCTTACAAAGCCATGATCCTCCCAACCTCAAAGGAGGAAGACAAGAACCTGAAGAAACGCTACGCGGTGTTCAACCATGACGGGAGTCTTGCCGAGTTGAAAGGGTTTGAGGTTAAGCGAAGAGGCGAGCTGAAGCTCATCAAAATTTTCCAGACTCAAATTTTCAAGTTTTTCCTGGAAGGGAGCACGTTGGCGGAAACATACGGAGCAGTGGCTCGTGTGGCCAACCGCTGGCTTGACGTCCTACATTCACACGGGTCCACGCTTGCTGATGAAGAGCTCATTGATCTGATTTGCGAAAACAAAAGCATGACCAAGACTCTCGAAGAGTATGGAAGCCAGAAATCAACTTCAATCACAACAGCAAAACGATTGGCGGAATTTCTGGGAGACCAGATGATCAAGGACAAAGGTCTGAACTGCAAGTATATCATCTCGGCCAAACCCAGGAACACACCCGTTACAGAACGCGCCATCCCTGTCGCGATCTTTTCAGCGGATGATAGCGTTAAACGCTTCTTCTTGCGAAAGTGGCTGAAGGAGGATCCAGCGGAAATGGATCCCAGAGCTGTGATAGACTGGGACTACTACCTGGAGCGCCTCGGCTCTGTCATACAGAAGCTCATCACAATTCCTGCTGCTTTGCAGAAGATCAGGAACCCTGTGCCACGTGTGGTGCATCCCGACTGGTTGCAAAAGCGCATTACTGCAAAGGACGACAGGTTTAAACAGAAAAAGATGACCGATCTCCTCGAGAAAAGGCCCCTTACCGAGCGCTCTGTGAATCTTTTGGATCATCGACTTCCTGCCAGTGGAGACATGGAAGACGTCCTCAGCAATCAATTCAAACCCCCCGAGGAAGTTACCAAATCCACAAAACGAAAAGCCCCGGAATCAACAAGTCGTGGTCTTGTTGATTCTCTTCCAGCTCTCCCTTCTGAAGCTCCTTTGATTGACGAAGACTATCGAGGCTGGCTCCAGTATCAGAAGAACAAGTGGAGGTCGCAAAAGCAAGCCAAGGCGCGTCGGCGTCAATTGTTCGGGGAAAGACCCAATGTTGCTACAGATTCAATCAGTAGCTTCTTCCACAACCAGGCCGAAATGATGTACACCAATACCTGGCACGTTCTACAGTTACGTCAAGGAGATTTGCCTGGAGAAGTGACAGCGTTTGTTGTCATTGGCAAGAAGATCCACACACTGAATATCAAAGTCCCCCGCACCCTGTATCTGAATCTCAAGGGAGAAGAGCTTCCAAACGTGGACATACCCGGCTGCGATGTTGAAAAGGTCAGCCATGTGTTGCCGAACGGCCATCCTTCGGTTCATTTGTTTCAGTTAACCATGCCCGAGGAGACCTACCTACGAGAAGCGGAGTCAATATCGTTATTGTGCAACCATCCCAGCGTTGAAGGTGTCTATGAACGTCAGTTTCCGCTATTTATGCGCGCCCTACTGAAACTAGGGAATATGTGCTCCTTCGATGAAACTCAGAAAGGTGTTCTCGGAAAGGGACTTGAACAAGGGTTTGATTTAGCATCACTTCTCAGGAGTGATGGCCAGTCGACGTACCTAGAAGAACCCAATTCCTTAGGGTATATCTACTTGTATCATGTCTCTGCTGGCGATAGGAATGTCTTTGCTCTGTTCTCGACCACCAAATCAGAAGCACATATCATCCTCATGAGTCGAACGCGGGACACCCAAGTACCAAATGCTGACAAGATATACACTGAACAATATCGTCAGAAAGTTCAGGACGAGGCTAATGTGCAGGCTCTCTTCGAATATCAACCCAGCATAAGTTTTAAGGTGTCACAAGTGACGACAAAGAGGAAAGCACATCTTGAGCTTGCGGA